GCGACGCCCTGCTGCACCGCCGCCACTTAGCCGCAGCTTTGCTTATTTGTATATCTGTTAAAACGCTCACATAGTGGCGGAAGCATGGTTTAGTGGCAACATTCCAGCTCTTAGTGATGTCAGCTCCGGTTTTGAATCCGACAGCTGTACAATGTAGTTCTGCACAGTCAAAGCTTCTGTATGACTCTAAGACTGAAAACTAAGATCTATGACAGTTCGTTTTATACACATCTTGCCCTCAAAAAAGATTTTTTTCAACATTTCTTGTGCCTTATAAGTCGAGATTACCAAAGGTAACATTAGTTTCACAAAAAATATTACATATGGATGCTTTTATCTTTTTGAATTGTTAGACGCTCGAATAAAGGCTCGCGCATCCAGATGACGACTTTGAGAGGTGAATAACCTCCCTTCAACTGTTATTCCTGATACGTGTTTGTTCCTGTGGGGGAGAGGGGTATGACTCTGTGCAAAAAGGGTAGGGTTAAAGGTAATTAACATTTCAGGTGCAAAAGGAGGGAGTGCCAAAAGCGGCAAATTTTTTGAAAAATTCAACTTGAGCTTATGTCTTTTATTTTTCCTTATATTAGGCCAAACGCCAAAGGCTCACATATAAAGACATAGCAGCTGAAGTGGTTCGCATAACGGGGAACAAACTCAGCTGCCACGCTTTATTGGATTATATGAACTGTTTCAGAGATGTCTGAACGAAGCATTTCAGAAGGCATCCTTTAAGAATAAGGGGTCTTGGTAAGGTAGTGAAGATTGATAAAGCGCTTTTTACCAGGAGGAAGTACAAAAGGGGTAGGGCGGTAGAGAAACAATGGTATTTGGGGGGCATGCAACAGACCAATAAGTTTTGCCGTTCCAGTTAAATGACGAGATGCTGCTAACCTTCTCCCAATGACCAAGCGGTATGTTGTTCCAGGAACAACTATAGTCTCTGACCAGTGAGCCGCACACGGCACCATCAAAGAAATGCCGAAGAGGTATCAGCATGAGACTGTTGAGAACAGTATCCACTTTATTGATCCTAAGACCGGTGCTTAAACAAACACCATTGAGCCTCTATGGCAAAGTTCAAAAAGGGCCACAAATCGAGATATGGAACGGAGAGGACACTTTTGCAGTCCTACATGGACGAATTTGTATGAGAAAAATTATATGAAGACAACGTTTTATTTCAGCTCTGATCGCAAATTAGAGAGCACCATCCACCTCCTAATGGCGCTGTGTGGAAGTGAGGACCTTCTGTCGGCTCCCGATCGACCACCAAGCAATCATCCAATTTTTATAAACCCCTTCATTTGAGAGGCGCTAGTCGAGTCGCACCTTATCAGCCTGTCTACCCTCAGGTTGCTGTAAGAGGTCAAACTCGTCCATAGTTTCTCACTGCTAGCTACGCCACCCAGCTTACCTCAAACTTGGGTAACTAAACATTTTTTCAACAAGTGACGTGACATCGTCTTTACCGTCTTACTTTGCTGTTTCAAACTACTCACCAACAACTCTGCCTTCACGTTCGTACAAAACGTCAAACCCATTCAGAGTTTCTCATAACTACTTCCGCCATCCAGCTTACCTCGAACATGAGTAATCAAACACTTTCAACGACTAACGTGACATCATCTCGACCATCTTACACTGATGTTCACTAGCACTCACCAACCGTTTTGCCTTCATATTTTTGAAAGAGGTCAAACTCGCCTATAATGTCTCACTGCTGTTTATAAATCTCCAAGTGCAGAACACAACTTTTTTTCAGAAGAAAAAGACTTTGCAATCCTGAAGTTGAGCTTGACGTGATCAACATGTCTCTTTAGCTGCACCAAGCTGCGACGACAGCAAAGCCGCTCTACTCGCAACTTGCGGTATATATGGGGCCGTCGAAGTACAATAGCAACCATTGTTCTGTAGAATACTCCTTGCAGCCGCTGAGGGAACTGAATCTTGATCAGCCTAGCACTTTATCTGCCGCTCACAAACTCTAACAAAACCGTACGTTTTCCCATTGCGGAAGACTGGTGGTACACGTTTGGTACTGGGCAAAGCTCTCAGCAACAAATTTATAGTCAGTAGCTCAAATGCTTCCCATTATGGCGGCGCCTGACCCGTTTTATACCAGCAGTCATCACTGTTCCTTTCTAGTCTAAAAACAATCCCAATCATAAAAATGGCTACTAAGCTAAGGTCTGTCCTTGGTATGCGGCGCCACACGCAACTCATGGATGGATAAATAGTCAATAGCTTGCAAAGTACGTATTCCCTAAATCTTGAATATTTTAAGAGAATAAACATGAATTACCTCCCCCTACTCAAATTTGCAGGATCTAATGCCATTTGCCACGATCAAGATTTCTGCATTTTGAGTGCTCTTCTCTTGGGCTTCTGGAGCCCGTCTTCCCCTCCGTCGTCATTAAATATTATCGTGAAACAACCACTGCGTCTCAAGCTTCTTAATCTGAGAGAAAGCTCCAATCGCTTTAAAGGTGGATGAAATGTGTGAACAGATAAAAAGAAACTTTGCAAACCTTTTTGACCGGTAAAAAAAAGAAAACTGTAAAACAACGCAGGCCAATAAGAACTTTACTACCGCTCACCAGTACAGCGTAAAAACCAACAAACAACCAAAAAATACACAAATATTTTATCGGAAACGACTAAGCTTTAATATGCCAAGTCCAAAAAAGAGACGGGTCGGAAAGATTTCATGCTCCAAAGTAACTGAAACAAGCCAGTAACTGCTTGCTTCTCATAATAAAAATCATTATTTACAAAACTGCTACCACTTTGAAAGCGTGATCCTCAAAGTTAAGAGATTATAAAGCTCTCATAAGAACTGTAAAAAACAACAAAACTTCATTCAAAATAACACCTAACAAAATTTCTTATCATCTTGTGCGACGTCATCGCCAACGAAGAAACTAGTCAGCATGAAGACAACTAACAGAGACTATAAATCAACAAGTAATATCACCAGTTAAACTGGCAGTATTAAAAGAATTAAAATTTTTTTAGAAATAATCAAACTCGATAAAATTACAAGAACGTCCAACAAAAGAAAGAAAGGAGCATTAATAAAAACTCACAATCTCAACTATGTGCAATTAATTGTTTAAGAAGCGCATCGACAGGGAAACATCTACAGATGGTGTATCAGTTAGTTGAAGGAATTCAAAAAAGTGGAAAAACAATTAAAAACTATGAATTCAACTTTGGTCCTCTTTTTCTAGCTTTATCTGCGGCGAAACGCTGACTCTCGGAAAGTAAAATCATTTTAATTTTCTGACGCGCATTGAAAGTTGGTCCAGCGTTTTCAAAAATGTTTTCACGTGTCACCTTCTTCTGCAAATATAGCATATAATAGCACAAAAGAACAGCGTAAAAAGAAACCAAACTAAAGGTTTTCACATCTGTTAAACACCATTCACAGAATTTAAGCAGTACCTCTCCACCAACTTTCACCTCAACGGTTAAGTTCGGCATATCCTTTTGCGTTTCTGTTAGCCGAGAATCAGCTTTTAAATCTGTAACCTCCGTTCTTTTTCTGTCTTCATCATAACCTCTTCCAGGAAACGCTTCTTTATTGATGCTGGACGACTCTCCGCCAATGTCCTTTGACGAAGTAGACTTCACTTTCTCAGCCAAAGAACTATTTGTCTTATTTCTTTCACCGTCATTTAGAGAAATCCCACCAGAATACCGCTGTCTGAATTTCTGCTGCGTAATGTCGTTTGGTAATCCAACTTCTGTACGCTCCGCTTTTACATCACGCTGGTGTGGCTTCTTGGCGTCGTCACGATCAACCTAAAATATGGTCATTATATTGTTTTAGCAAACAATACCGGAAACTACTAGCAGCAAAGACCTCTAGTAACGTGTCCTAACTACACAGACATAATAGTTTGAAAGAGTAGCTGCGCATTAACCTTAAGCAGCAAATTAGTATAAACAAAATAATGGAACGAGAAGCATATGTATTCCCAAGCTGACTTGATTCATTCTAACCTCTGATTTTCGTTTTTCACCTCGCCTCTCCTCCTTCGCTGTTCTCGATGACAACTTTGGACTTCGTTCTTTCTCACGATCTTCCTTTGTCCTCATTTTTTCTACATCTTTGGAGTCTCGATCGTCACCTCTAAATTAACCCTCCTTTAATTACAAAATATTACCAAACGGTACAAAACACATCACTAAACAACGTCCAAATCAAGCAACATCACTTGCCTATTTACGAGAATTTGGAAAAGAAGAGTAAGATCTTTCCAAATATCGAAAAATGACCGAGATTCTAGTCACAACTCACCTTTTTCTATTATCCCTATGGGAAGGATGTGACTTTTCGTACTTGCAGGGTCGCTTCTCACCCCTCAGTTTTTCGTTAACAGAGTATTCCTCATCCTTCATCTTCTCTTCGCGAGACAAATGAGAAACTCTAATTTTTTCCATCTTTTTCTCACTTGTTGTAACATTTAACTTCCGACTTTTATCCCCTTCTTCAACAAAGTCGTCGCGTTTTGCTCGCTTGCCTCTTTTGTCTTCATCAACTTTCCTTTCAGTCGAACGACTTTTTCGTTTTTCTCCGTGTCTGTGTTTTCTCCGTGACTTCGCACTATCACGTGAATCACGGCTTTGGTTCCGATTTTTCTCCGACCCATCACTTGCCTTCCTGTAACGAACTGGTAGGTCGGGTAAATCAATTACTCCTTTATCTTCATCTGTAACGCTTCTAATAGCCTCGTCCGTAGAGATTTTCGAAACAACTTCCTTAGTAAGAGCAACCTTTTCCTCCGTAATAGCTTCTATCCTGGCTTTTTCTTCACTGTCGTATGACTCCATACGCTTACGTCTTCTCTTTTCCTCTTTCCTTTTTTCCTTTTCTACCTTTCGCTTTTCCCTCTCCTCTTTCGACTTCTTATGCTTGCGACTTTTCTTCTGTTTCTCATGATCACTATCATCTTGAGAATGTCTGTGACGCTTTCTCCTTTCCGTTTTCTCGTCTCCTTTCCCTTCCCTTTTGTGCTTTTTCCTCTTCTTTTTCTTTCGTTTCTTCTCCTCCCTCTCTCTCTCTTCACTCGTTCCACAAATTTCTCTATCCGTTTGTCTTCTCGATTCCTCAACTACAGTTTCAGGAGACTGAATTCCCTGCACTGCTATTGTTTGTTCATCTAATCTATCAGTGCCATAATCTTCCCTTTCGGTTACATCCAAAGTCATCTTCCCCGCCTCATCTATTTCTACTTTTTGCATTTCATTCTCCTGGACACTTTCTCCTCTCTCCGTCTCGATAACCTTGATCTCCGCCACCAAAGGATTTTCACATCCTTCTGAATTCTTAAAGTCCTTCTTAACTTCTAGCGCTAAATCCTCTAAGTTTTCTAAACGGGTTTCGTCCAGCAACGGCTGCTCTGGTGCATTAATTCCAGAACCGTTCATTTGCAATTTCTCAATCTCCAACTTCTCTTTCTCTAACTCTTCCGAGTCGGTCAAATCTGACTTTGTTTCAGTTCTGTTGTTTGGTTTTCCTTTATAAGAAGCTGCTTCCTAAAATTGAAAAGACTGTAGACGAAAAAAGTGAAGAGATTAGAAGGTATGATACCACAACCTTCTTTGACTAGATATTTCTAAACCGAAATTACCTTCTGCCTAACTGCATCTTTATCGTCCTTTTTTCTAGACTTGGACCGTTTCCTTCCTGACTGCAGCTTCTCGCTATCAACGTGACGCTGTTTTTTGCTATCACTTCGCCTTCTGGAATCATCGCACCGTTCCTTCCTTTCAGACTCTTTATCTCTACTTGAACTTCTTCTTTTCGAAGGGCTGCAGAACAATGGTATAAGCCCTTATGTCAACATCCATAAAGGAAAGCAAAACTTGTTTTATCTTATTAGAAGTATGCAGTGGTCATAATAGAAAAGTCAATTTAAAAAAAAAAGCAAAAAAAAAAATGGAAAAGCTGCCCCCTACCGGTAATCAGATAACGAACTGCGCGGTGAACGGCGATGATTTCGATCGTCATGATTCCTTGATCCACGGTACTCAGAATTGCCAGAATAAGTAGAATACCCGGTAAGAGGGTTTGAGACGCCGGCAGCTGATGAATAATTGGAAGATGAAGACAAAGCACGGTGCTGTTGAAAGTTTGCCGTTGCTGATGCGTTTGTGGTTGATGAAGGATGTTGGTAAAAGACAAAATTAGAGCTAGGGTCTCTGTGGTAACGTGAACTGGAATACGAACCTCGAGGAGACCGAGAACTGCTGAAACAAAAATAACGGATGTATTTCAAATGTACAATTCAATGAAAACTAGAACTTTGAATATTAACAATTGGCTCAAAGAACTCAGCCGCTTTAATGCGAGCAAAAAATTAAAAAAAAAAACAAAAATTCTACTCGGAAAGTAAATTTAAACAGCTACTTTACTAAAAAGTTCCGCTTAATTCTATCCAAAGCAATAAAACATCACTTCTAACTTCACTATAACCTATCAAAAAACAGCTGCTCATGAAAAAACTTCGCAGCTTTTTTTGGCCAACTAATGCTTTAAGAAGCTGAAAGTATCTCCATTGAAAATTTAAATTGTTGAAAACGAGCAAATACCCTCTGCGCCGATACGACCTCCTTTCTCTACTTGAACGTCGACGATCTCTTGTACTCCTTTCACGTGACCACGATCTTGAACGCGTTCGTGAACGTGAACGTGTGCGTGTTCGTGAGCGCGAACGTGAACGTGAGTCAGAAGTGTCAGTAGACGAACTTACACTTGAAGAATAGGAAGAACTTCGAGGAGAGCGCCTTGTGCGAGGCATACCAATAGCTCTTTGACGATCCTTAAACCATAGCGACAGGTTAGTTTTCATAAAAAGTACTGTAAAGCAAAACCAACCTTCTCCTTCCTTTCTAGGAATTCGTCCCAAGCATCTTTCACAACAAGAGGTGCAGATACAGATGAAAAAACTGTAGGCGTTGAAATACCTTTAAAAAAATGTTGAGGAAAAACTTGTTTAATTAAACGTCATTTAATATAGTAAACTTTCGAGTCCCTTTCCATTAAATTGTGATTTTAAAAACTGCCATAATTTAACAAAAATGTGGCGCTTTACAGGAAAACAAAATATTAGAATTATGAACAAAAAATTGAAATACCTGGAGGCGGAGGCTGTAAACCTGCTGGAATAAGAACAGACGAAGCTGCTATGCGATTTATCAAACTTCCAGATCTAAATCTATTGAATCTGACATTTCAAGAATTATTGAGAATTATCTGTATATCTTTCAAAAAACCAAAGAAATAGGGAATTTTCCTAGACAGTGTAACTAATTACTGGGCGCCACAAGTCCCGGGCGGAGCAATACTCGGGTCTCCTAAAATTCCACTCGCTGTATGCATCAGTGGAGCATAGCCCGGAGGAGGTTGGTGAAAGCTGACAGGAAGCACAGGATTGACCGGTGGCATGATATTTGTGTTGACCTGGGCAGAAATGACAGGTGTTGCAATGCTAGCTTCAAGAATTTGCTGAGGTGGGGTAGAAATGATCGATGTTGAAGGTTGCTGGGAAGCAACTGAGGTAGGCACCACTGGAAGCAGCGGATTACTCTCTACCGTATTCGTGGTAAACGGTATCACCGGCTGACTAGTAGTAACCTATAAGTAAAACCCACTGTATCCCAAGAAGCACAGCAAAAACAGAAGAATCATTTTTAGTCCTGAAGCCAAACAGTGGGAGTAAAGTAGCTGAACTAAATTTCTTCTGAAGAAGACCGATGCTGTTTAAAAATTTTACAGGTACTTGTACAGCAGCTGGCTGTTGAGGCGGTTGTTGCACCTGCGTAGCTGTCTGCTGAATTGAAGTAACAACTGCTGAAGTACTACCAGTGGTTCTATTACTTAAACCTATGCGTACTCTTGGAACAGGCTGCGATGGTACAAAATCCTCTGTAGTTGTTTTGACGTGTGCTGAAAGCAAACCTAACATAAAACTTGCTATTACCAAAAAGGCGGAAAAATACAGACATTTAGTAAAGTAGAGAAACCATAAAACAATAATAGACCTCAAAACTCTAGAAATTTTTTGAAGTTTACTGAACCTGAGTTATCTACGCTAGATACGTTAGACTTGCTAACACTGGGAGTAAGTGTATGCGTTGTCACTACTGCATTCTTAAAATTTTCCACCATACGCCGCAACTAAAACAAACAGTGAAAAAAGTAAGTTTCCTGGATGAGTGGATATTAAACAAGAAATTAGAAATCTGTAACAAAAAGTTTCTTCTCATAGTTAAAACTCGGAAATCGAACCTTGATATTCGGAATTAATTTGTCAGCTGATATCGAAGACTGGAAGCAATTATTGCCAGGGCATTTAGCATTAGAAGACTCTAAAAGCCGCTGCTGAACGCACTCTGCACAAAAGCTATCGCCGCAACAAGTTGCAAGGACAGCTTCACGTAGCAATTGGGAACATAAAGGACATTTCAAGTCAGCGGGTATTTCTCTGAAGTGCTATGAAATTATTTCTTAACAAATACAGGGAAAATGCAAAACGAAGACGAACTGAATAAATTCTGTCATTAAACAGTCTTTCCGTAAAACTAAGCAAAAAGCAAAGAGGGAACAAGACCGAATATGATTTCCATCTTGGAGCTTGGTAAGCCATCTTGCAAAATTTACCTGGCATCCGGTTCCGAAGTAGCTGCCGTTTCGATTTTCTTTTGCTGCCTTGCTTTTACATGCATAATGGGGACTACAAAACGACCAGACGGGTGCAACATTGCCAATGGGTCATCCGGAGTAGTGTCAGTCAATTCATCCATAGTCAATCCGGTAGTCCGCTTCGTATTTAACTGAAACCACAAACCCACATCCAGACTATCAGTAAGCCCTTCCTCATTCCTACACTGATTACCTCCTTACTTACCAAAAAAAGGTAATCAACATCTCTAAAGTGTACAACCCAAAAATAATCCGGTGAATCGTAGAATTGCAGAATTTGATAATTAAAGATACACACACTCCAGACGCGATCAAATAATTTCTGTTTGATCTGAGTTATATCCAGGACGCTGGCTCTACTACATAATCAATCACCATACGAGACCTTTAAGCTCTCTAGACACAATATATAAAAAAATTATGTTTATGTTCGGTTACAAAGTAAAAACCTAGAAAAATAAAAAACGGTTTGCCAAAAAAAAGTGAATAAAGGTGATTTAGCAGAAGTTAAAAACATTCTAAGATATGAACTACTGAACGAAATTAAAACAGAAAGTGTTAAAAAGATGATATATTTTAAAAACCAAAAGACCAATTTCATTTCTTATAGATTTCAAAAAGACATTAAGGAAGAACTGGTCTACATCACGAAAACCCAGACATATTCAGGATCGAAGTTCAAGAACCTCTTCAGGATCCTCAGTCACCTTTATTCCTCTCGTACCACCTAAATACCCTGACTCCATTGTCTCATGCAACTCTATAAAATTCTTGGCTATAATCTCGACAGCGAATAATTATCATAAAGTTCCGTAGAAGCAAATAAGGTAAAAAACAATCAAATTGAAAAATACAAGAATCAGAGAAGTTTATCCCGACGAAATCATCAAACAGCACTAGAACGTAACCCAAACAGTTACCATCCTAAGGTAACACTTCTGAGTATGAAATTAGGTTAAAAGAATTTGATTCTGCAAGAAATCGGATGAGTAGTAATTACATAGTTTATTTTTGAATCAGTAGTGAACAAATGCGATACTTCACATAAACACAAGACCCGTAAGATGAATCTGTTCAACACAGCTAAAAAACCCCGCACATATAAAACAGGTTAACCCGAACAACAGAAACAGAAATCATTTCAAGAAAACTTCCGTATAAATAAAATACAATAAACATAAAAAAATTGCTCTAGTAGGATGATGGGTAGTTGACAGAAAGGTAGGATATAAGACAATAAAAAACTTAATGCTATAAAATACCGTTAGGCAAATATCCACCGGATTCTTAAAGTACTTCCAAGCTCATTGCACTGATATGTTATAACGCTTAACATGCTTGCTTAAGTGTAACGATGAATCAAATTTTACCCTCCAAAAATCAATGACTTAAGATGACTTTTGCTGTAGACAGCGAAACAGTTTTGGCACAATCTAGCTTTTCGAAGTTGGTATTATAGGCACTTCATAAACGATTTAACGATACGATAAGCAAAGGTACAAGGAACAAATGAAATCTTTCTTAAATATAAGGGCGCTGGAAAAGAAATTTCCAGCAACCAAAACTAACAAACTCTGAAAGAGCCAGAAAGTACAGGCGCTAACACCTGGCTTCAAATAACCAATTTATCTTCGAATAGATAATGAACTTTTGTGTAACATAGCCAGCAACAGCTAGCATCTTGTTGTGACAAAAAATAAATTAAATAAAAGTAAAATAAAGCCAAACTGAAAATGATGTTACTAGTTGTACTGTAGCCGACACCGTGGTCTTTAAAAGTTGCGTTAATGCAATAACTGAAATTAAGCATATCATTTACCATTGGGCAGTTCTTGTACCAATGTCCTGCTTGCGAACAACGATTACATATGTAAGTCGGTGGTGGCGGGCCAGACAAAATTGATGAAGTCTTCTTTTGAAAACTGCAAAAAGTGCTGGAGCTTTAAAAATATCAAGCAAAATTGAAATATTTAGAGATACAAAACTGGAGACATCCACTTGGTGAGCAACTTACTTTTTCAGAGGTATAAAGGAGGAACTAATTTTCAAAACTTAAATAAAACTATCTAAAACTTGAATTTCATAGTGGTGCCGAGAATGATGAAATTAATTGCAAAGAAAGAAAATCAAGACGACGTACTTAGAAGGCAAATATTTATACGTCGACACTTCTTTAACATGAGTCAAACGCTCTTCTTCCGTCATTTTGTCAAACTTTTCCTGTAAATTACGGTAGGTAATTATAAAACTGTGATTACGCTTTCTTAAAGAATCTTAAATAAGAGTAATTAGAAAATATTAAGGTGTACACAACTTTCAAAAAAATAAAAAATAAAAATAAAAACTACAGCAAATCCTACTGAGTCAATATGTGGAACAAATGCAGGTTCTGTTCCTACTGGTTTGCTAACAACGCCGGAGTTACTTGTGTCACTAAAAAAGATACTAGTTTTACAAAGCGTACATTAAGACGTCAAAAACGAAGAGCATTAGAACACTGACTGTACTTTCGGCAGTTTAGCTGCATTGTCTCTGGGAGTCCTTTGCACTACAACTGACGAATTCCGGGGTATGACTTCCCTGTATGGTTGATTCGTGTAAGCATTGTACAAAACAAGGTCAAAAGACTCTGCCTAAATTGGAAGTTTCATCAGACAAGCCTAAGAAACCGAAAGAACTAGAAATATCAAAGGACAATAATGACTAAAAAAAAGCAATTTGTTGCTCTTCAAAACCCAACCTTTATATGTTCTTTTTCGCATATTTCCTTCTTTAAATCATTAACAGAAATATGGAGACCCTCAAAAACGAGTGTTTTATATTCAAGAGCGGCTTTAAATTTGTAATGAATTGAAGACATCCTCTGAAATATTTTTATCTAGTAGGGAAGAAAAGAACTAGATAACTGGTTGTGAAGTCTCTAAACAAACAAGTTATATTTTAAAAAGAAAATGTACCCAAAGATTTCTTCTACATAAGCATCTTGATGAAAGCAAATGGATCTTCCACAAAACTGTGATGGAATTTCAAAGAATTACGTAAAATAACTCCAATACAACCAATTTTTTCAGAAGCCAGTGCTTAAAAAGTTTGTTTACCTAACAGAAAGGATGACCGTCGAACTTTTTCATCCGCTTGAGAGAACTAACGACTTCTGCGCTTCAACAAATGAACAGTTATCTGAAGTTATAAAAGTGATCTGGCATAAGATATCAACAACAGAAAAGGGCAGCGCGTCTTCACTAAAACGAATCATATAAACCAACTACCAATACTGAAATATACAAAGTAGGGAAACAAGTAATCAATAAAGAAAAAAATAACAAAAAATTCTAAAAACATGGTAGACTTCTACAGCCAAGAAGTGTAGAACTTCATTTACTTCTCCCAACGAGTGTACAGAAAAGAAACACAAAAAGTAGCGCTAATGTCTGGAAACTTCCAGCGGAAATCTGGTCAAATTGAGTCATAGACTATCATAAAAAAACTTAAAACACCTAATATAATCAGTGGTGAGAACCGATAAAACTGTAAAAATTCAAAAATTTTTAAACTGTTTTGAAACTTGCAAGTATTCCAGTGTAAAAATGGCCCAAAAACTAATAACAATTAAAACTGGGCTCTTCTAAGCTGATGCATAGAAACTTATTTGATGAACATAATATGCTTCAAAGAAACCGTTACTAAAAAAATCACAGAAATATTCCATATTCCAAGCACAAAAAGTTGTTATTAATGTACGATGGATTCCTTTTCTTTGAAAGTCACATGCGTTATAACGTCGACAGCAAAAATCAACAGTAAAAATTCATCGCCTACTACTACCGTCATACAGTAATTACGAAGTAATCATTACAATAAAAAAAAGTACCAGAAGCTAGACGATCAAAAACAGAACTGAAGTCCCAACCCTACCAAACTATAATACCTGAATATGCCCACAAGAAAAAAAAAACAGAAGCCTAAGGAAAAAACAATAACAATAGTTACGGAATTACAACAGGAGTTACCTTGAACTTAAGTTCCCTGAGCTTTACAGAGCTACTGGTTTTTATTACAGAGCAATCAATAAAATTCTGAATGAAAATTCACGTGTTTGAGTGAAGAATACAGATGCTACACCGTTCTGCCTCAGAAAGTAAAAATATCACTGATATCTCAGGTTGTAAAACTTTCTTTTCGAATTCGCACAATTTATTTTTCACTTTCGAAAAGAAAAAAGAGATGCATTTATAATCTGTTACAGATATACACCTGGGCCTGTGAACAAGTAGAAAAAAGAACAAAAAATGGACAACTCGAGAAAGTTGTCCCCTAAAACACCCACCGACAGTGAAAAAGCAATACTATAGAGCCTCGCGTTAAAACGACCCTTATCTCCACACATTATCCATTACCTGAGCATCAAAAAAGTCAAAAAATTGTAACCTCTGCAACCAACAGCCCTATATTCAACAAGCTTGCTACTAACAACCTCACAAAGAAAATTCCCCCGCATTGTGCTCATAAAGGAAACCAGCTGTTTCTGCGCGCAGGGAGAAACACTTCATTGAAATTTTTGTTATACAATCAACATAAAGTTAAGCAAGTTTTATAAAATGTGGTCTTAACAAAATAGATCGTAATGCTGTCTTGAAGAGCTCGATGATTACTAAACGGTGGGAAAAAAGATTCTATGATTCAATTGTGAAACCTAAGTGTGTCCTTATATGCACGCAGAGCTTCAAGGCTGTGCCTAGCTGAGATTTAAGTCATAGTACACGAAGGTTTATTCATTATTCTTACTCCGGGATAAAAGAAACGAAATTGTAACGAAGAACGAGTACAGGACACAAACGAGACCAAGTGGCCAACAAAACGTCACTCTATTTGTCATCTCGCTCAGACGCCTCCAAAAATTTTGGTGGGCCAACTCGTATTACACAAGTACGCACAGATTTTCTAATGATAAAAAGTGATCGTTTGCAGATGCCGTTTATAATGTCAATTTTACAGAAGCAAATGCTCAGCTAAAGGAAAGTAGGCTTTGAAGTTAGCCACATGAAGAAAATACTTTCGACAGCAACAGATTACTTTCATCAAAACTGTTTGAAATAGGGATGAAATACACATAAAATTAACCTGTGACCAAACACCTAATTAAATTCAAGTGTCCAATTTAATTTCCTGTCCCTAAGTTAATGATTTAGGATATCAAGACAGGTTACGTTCCCGAATACTTCTAGATTGTCGCAACATGTATTTATCTCCATATACACTTGCTTCGTAAATGTTCTGAAGAATTTGAAAAAATTTGCCGTATACACGGAATACATGTCGCAAATAACAGTTAATGTGCGCTTACCTGTAAACAGCAGTTTTTTTACAAGCAGAAACACTCCAAGGCAGAAAGCAAAATACGTGTCTATCTATACTGTATGTCAGATAGCTTGACTACGATGGAATTTTGCCAACAAACTGGTTGCTATAAAAGGAGTTAGCGCATTTCTTTTTTTCGCATTCCCGCAAAACTTTTCGTGGCAATGTGAAAGAGATTTTTTCAGAAAATCTTCCGCTAACTAAGCCGGTGTCAAAATTGGAAATTACAGAACTTTCATAGGTCATTTCGCTATTTGTTTTCGGCTTTTGGTGCGTGGGAAATGAGTCTGTGTTCAGCGACTCGTAATCGTTAGTTAACAAGTTATTCAGTGCGAAACAAACGTATATATGAACCATTCCATGCCAAATCGCCCACTTTTTCCCCCTCATATATCAGATTTTTTTTCAAATTCTGCTAAGTAGTAGAGTCTAGGCCAGTGTACAAAAAGCCGAAAAAAACCTGGGAAAGCGAATTCCACGCCAAGTTATACCCTCGCAAAGTTGCAAATTTTGCCAGGTTGCTACTTGATATGCCTAACTTTGCAAACCTGTAATTTACCCTGTCCTTAATAGAATTTAACAATTAAACTTGCCGTAAGCTAAATTTTAAAATACATATTAAATTTTTTAATTTTGATAAAAATTCACATAGATCTAGAAAAAGTAATGTTTCAAACAAACGTAGAAAAAAAAACGTGTCTTTCGATTTTTTGGAAAAAACATTTTGTGTATAATTTTTTGCCTACAACATATCAGATTTTGGTAATGGGAATTTTCTGGTACCAAGAGCTACGAGCCGGAAAGGAGATTGAAATTAAAAAAAATCTGCTTTTTTTACTGCAATCGCATGTATTTTACATGACAAAACCGTCCAGAGCCGTCTTTAAACGCAGGAAATTTGTTACAAAAGTTGCATTTTACTTAAAAATATTGACGTATTATTATTCTGCGTATAAAAATTGGCCTTCATTCCAGCGCTATCTGCCTCTTGCATTTTATTCTCTTAAAATTATTCAGCAATATCCATTTTGAAGTAACAAAGAAGTCTAAAAACCTACTGCTCTTCCTGGTTAACTGGTGGGTTAATTCTTAGCTGAGACTTTCTATGCTCCTGAAGAACCACAGCACACATCTTCAAAGAAAGAACAAAAGGTTGAGCTCGTGCAACTAAAACTTCAACAAGTACATTATGGATATAATTCTAGACTCTAGAAACTAAGAAATACAAAAAGTGGAAAAAACTATAATGGAAACTACTTCTTACAATTCTGCAGGATAATAATTTGTCAATATTTTGAAATAAAAGAAAATTTTTCAAACAAGTTTTCACCGCTCAAAGGATACTGCATTTTTACAGCAGGTGTCTGCGACTTTCAGAGGCGGCTGTGGGCGGTTTCGACATGTAAAATACATGGGATCACTGGAAAAATAGTGGGTTTTTTCAGTTTTAGATCCCCTTCTGGCTCATAACTCTCGATACAAAAAAATTGCCATCATCAAAATTTGGTATGTCGTAGAGCAAAAA